TTTTAATTAATTTCTGTTCGATGCTTATTCAGGCCTGCAGCCTATGGGCGCCCTCTACTGTTGTTCAACACCTAGACAAGAACTTGTCCACAGATCAAAGAATCGATAGGACAGGAAATATACTATACCTAGCATATCGTTAGTGTTATCACCTTCAGGCATTGTTAGAAATCCCATTGTTGGCACAAACACCTGCACTAGATGCATTGGAATATCAGGGAAGCCTAAAACCATTACTAGGATAACTTGCAAATGGGGCAGATTGGGTCATTTAATTAGTGTACTGTAGCTCATTATCTGCTCATCTGTGTTCAATTCCAATTTTCTATCCTATAACAACATAAATTGTTAGTTTTTTAAGTTGGTGTAAACAGTAATATATCTGTTTATGAGCCGAGACTATATTTAGCTATATTTTTTTTAGATTGTGCATTTCTGCAGAGCACTACTTTCGAAGTAAATCCTTTAAGGTTTAGTGACAAAAATAATAAAGCCCAAATCATGAATTTTATGAGATTTTTTTTATTCAATTTACAGTTATAGGTGGCAATGTATTAACGACATCCATAGCCTTCAATTATCTTCTGATATGGAGCAATCTTTGTTGCCAGGTTTTTTGTTGCCTGCTCCCTCAGTTTCTGCAAAGAAAAGAATCAACCAATATTATGTCTATAAAGTCTACATCTTGGTCGTTTGCATAAGTAAAGGATGGAATGTGCTGATGTGAATGGCTAGCTCAGCTGGTAGTGCATGTTGTAAAGGCTTTCATTGCTGAAGCTCAACAAAATGTGAACAAATCATCACAGCTAGCCATTTAACTACTATCACAAAGTATTCATACTACTTCAACTACATTCACCATAATATACAACCTACTATATACAAAATTTAGCACTTTATAAAAAAAAACGGCCACTTCTAAATTTTATGTTGTAAATGCAATATGACTCTATTTCAATTCATAGCACAAAATAAGTAAACGCTTACATTATCTGCCTTCTTCTTTTCATAAAAGACCTTGGACTTGGCCTTGCGCTTTGCCTCCAAGGTTTCAATAACGCCTTGGTACTTCCAGCCGACCTCATGTGACAGCCGTCCAAGATTGCAGTACTGCAACAAGTAATAATTTCAACCAATTACATCACATTAGCAAATCCCACCGCAGCATACACAGAATGTGTCCACGGCATCATTATTTTCGAAGTTTGTGGTACTAACAAATGCAAGATAACAGAAGATTGGCTAGCTCAGCTGGTAGTGCATGTTGTAAAGCCTTTCATCGCTTCAGCTCAACAAAATGTGAACAAATCATCATGACTAGCCAATTTATGTTCCGTTGCATGCATGTAACATTATAGCTATGCAGAGACAATAATTTCCATGAATCATGACAAATTACAATGCATACTAACTAGCTAAAACGTCTAGTAAAACAATTTGTGTTGGACACAAACACCTTATAATTTACTGCTCCCAGTTTCAATGCCAAATGCAAATTTAAAACTAAATCACAGCCTTGTCTTATTAGCGACTCATTAGCAGAAGTCACTATCTTAATAAAAACTTTGTACTACAGTTATTAATTATAAATGTACTTTTAGCAAATTTATTGGCAGGCAGCAGTTATTCCCTTCACATCGCCAAAATAAAACTCAACCGGCTTATATAAACCATTGCCTAAGCAAGTTGAATATAAATAAAATGAACATTATATAATTACAATATAGATGCCAATGCTAACAAAAAGACCAATTAGTTCCCTCTTTATTTTTGACATTAGAGCTAATAAGCTATTCAACTATAATTAAATAGTAGAATGCATGTGTGCAGGTCTTGAAACTAACCTAAAACCTTCACTAGCCAACAGGGCTAGATCTGCAAAATCTACCAGCCCTCAATTCTCTGGAGTGTGGTGCCATGGTGAGCTTTTATCTACACACGTGAGGCAAGTATGAGCAGGTGGGTCTGTGGGGGGGGGGGGTAGGTAACAGAACAATATTGATTTTAGACTATCTGAGATGCATTCTGAGGCTTGTTACTTTGGAAATCATTAATGGGATGTAATTTAAATCAACATTAGGAAGCATACTAAAATTTAGTGAGAAAATTGACATTTCCACGCTCAAATTTTATACTTAAATCAGATGGGATCAGTTGCACGAAAAGTAGGTGCAGATTTGAGTATTACTGGCACTCGCCAACAGGGCTGATCAGCCAAGACATGCTGCTATCCTTCAACGATATCTCACAGGTTCAGGCGAGCAGGCGACTGGTAATTTCAAGACGTGTGTGTGAGGTGTGCCCATATTTCTACCTGCTATTGCTACTCTAACAAAAATATAAACAAGTTTCTATTGGCATGTAGAAACAAAAAAAAACAATACAAATAACTTTAGACAAAATATTTAGTCCAATTGGTTGCTTACAAATATTACATACGTTGGTTACATTGGTCCCGAATCTAGTTAACGGATATATTTTGCATGTAAATAACACTAAGCCAACTAAATTATACTTGATGCAAAACTAAACAAGGCCGTACCTTTCTGCGTTGTTTCAGCTTCAAAACACGCAGTGCAGAAGGCACCACCATTCTCTTCTGTTTGTCATACGGTGGGGGCACACCATCATATACCTTAAGTCGGCTTAGTGCCTCCTCACCACGCTTTAGTTTGTGAGGAACCATTCCTAGTGAAACAATATACACTTTAGCAGATAAAGCATCTAATTCGAATACTCCACAGGATACAATCACGTTAATAATTTAATTATGAAACAAAAGTATATTCAGCAAACAAATGAAGATGATTATTTCTTAATAATATTAAACAATAAAAAACATGTATCTGGAATAAATAAATTCCTATTTCACTGGAAAAAAATTCTCATTTAATATAGAAGGAAACTGAAGTAGAAGGAACATTAAAGTGATTATGTAACCGTAAATAGTAGAAGTAAAAAAAGCATGTCACTTTTTCTCAAAATGTAAGTGATTCTATTTACTTTTTATGGTTAAATTGCTGGATTATACTTCTTAATTTGCTATTCCGTTCGATGTGAACAAACGCTCGTGACTCGTACATTATCCCATAGCAAGCATTTTCTAAATGTTGTGATTAATATATCAAATTGCTCAGGTTTTTCGAATTTTTAACTAGTTGAGAAACAATCTTAATTATCAGGTAAGAATGTGAGGATACATTTAGTCCCGTTAGCACTTACTTTTCTAGTAAAAAAATGCAACAAAAATTTTACAAACATACACCTTAGAAAATTTGTGACGTAGTCAATTTAAATACCTCGGACTGTGCGCCACAGAATCTTGCTTGGGGCCCTAAAGTGGAATGGGCCACGGGATGGTTTCACATTGCAACGCTTTCTCAAGAATGACAGATACTTCACTGAAATATAACACAGTTATGATCACAATTATGCAAGCAAACTTTAGAACATGAAGGAAACACCACCATACATTCTGCCATCAGTTGGTAGTGCATGTCGGTAGTTTTCACAGCTGTAGCTCAATTGGCTAGTGATGTTTATCATCATCGGCAGTACAATGCTTTCTGGTATATGCGCCTCATTTACCAATTTCCCTGAAATTAAGAACTGAATACTTACACTTGTTCCTGTAGAAGCTACCAGAGATGTTGATGCCCTCGCATCGTACAACCACAACCTTATGGCCTGTAATAAAATACATGTAATCACTGCATTGTTGCATTACGTTTCCTAAATACAGATATTATAACAATTTTGTTGGCTAAGGTGTTACAGGGGAACTAACCCATTTAACCAATTCCATGCTATGCTATGACAGTGTGCTGTCATGTTTTGTTTTACAATTGACAAGTCAATGGCTGTACATGACGTGACAGGAGTTACAGATTAAGGTTATAGTTAATTCAGTTGAGTTTATAGTTTACCTGATAATTCAATGTACGCTGTGGCTATATGCCCGGCAGCCGGGCACGGTCTTCATTTTCCTAAATGCCCGGCAGCAAGGCACGGTCTTCGTTTTCCTAAATGCCCGGCAGTTCCTAACCCTAACTCTAACCCTAAGAAAAACCTTAACTCTAACTCTAACCCAAACCCTAATCCTAACTCAAACCCTTGACCTTGTTTACTTGAGTTGAGATAACGCTAAAAATTAAAAACTGCCGGGCATTTAGGAAATCGAAGACCGTGCCCGGCAGCCGTCAGATATATGCAGGCTGCCGGGCATATAGCCACTCAGTTCAATGTATGCTCACTAATTATTTATATTGCATTATTGGCCTATATTGGTCTTAATTAAATGATAAATAAAAGACAGTGTCGTTGTTAAAGTCACTTACCGGTCAGTACACTTTTAGCCACAATTGCTGACAACCTCCCAAGCATATGGGCACGGCCATCTATCAGGATGGGCTTTAGAAAAGAAGTAACAATTCACACTTAAAATTGGACACAGCGAGGCAATGCCAATGATAAGATCAAGTATGCCATTTGCAAATAGAATTGTGTTGCAGGTTTCGCTTGCCTGCCACTTGCCGCTTCAGAACGATAAGATTTCTAATATTAATTTACTTAAATATACACTAAGTGAACTTGTAATGCATTAAATAAATTTTAACCGACAACTATTCTGTTACTGTCATTGTATTCACAAAAACTACAGCATTAAAACCACACACCTTGCTTTGAAACCCCATGTTGGCGGAAAAGACCACATACGGGGACTCCACGAATGAATTCAGCATTATAGACGCTACTAAAAGATTCGATACCTCAATCAATAAAAACTTCTTTATTAAAAACCTAAATTTTAAGTATTTCTATAATTTAAGTATAATATTTAATAAACAAATTCAAGTTTATTAACTGCTGTAATTCTCACAATGTTTTTAGTTATGTATTTTAGACATTTGGCCGAATGTACTTTCGTTTACTGACACGTGTCCACCAGTAAATCACTACCGGGTCACAACCCTGTGGGGTTAAAGGATGTGACGCGTCGTCCGGCGACCAATCAGAGGGCCCACGGCTCGGGCACTGAAGCCGATGCGGAGGCTGATGTGATGCTGTCTGGTTTGAAATTAAATGATTAATCTCTCAAACTATGGTTCCTATTTTACTGCGCGAATGTTTTCCAGACACAAATCGTCAAATGTGGTGTCCCTGAATAAATTCGCGATATTTTTAAAGTGATTACGTCACGAATTTTCTATGGTAAAATTTGTTGCAATTTTTTTACATTAAAAGTAAGAACTAACGGGACTAAACGTATCGTCAAATTCTTACCTGATAAGATTGTTTCTCTGCTAGTTAAAAATAAAAAAAAACCTGGACGATTTGATATTAGTGTTAATAACATTAATTGCTTGCTATGGCCTATGTATGCGTCACGAGTGTATGTTCACATAGAACAATATAGTAAAATAAGAAGTATAATGCAGCAATTTAACCATAAAAAGTGAACAGAATGACTTATATTTTGTGAAAAAGTGGAAACATTTTTTATATTTTTTACTATTTACGGTGACGTAATCACTTTAAATCGCCGATAAAACACGTCACACCACAAAACTCTCGTTACACAGCTGAAGTACATATCATACGTACATCATTACATGGCTATCTAGCCTTAGTAGTGCCACTCGGCAGAAAACAGTCGAAATTATAATTTACAGCTCCTGAAATTTTAATTCCAAAGTATAGGATCCTAATGGGCGCGAATGGATGCGGTCTGCTCTCATTCACTAGATGTGATGCGGGCCGAGGATTGACACTTTGTGTCTTCCAATCACAGCCTACGCCGCACCAGATTTTTATATTTTTAAATATGGGGACCCATTGGACCACCAAATCGCCGATTACTAATTAACCGTATATATATGTTTCACATACGTTCACCTATTTTGCACACAGTCGGTCGATCATTGTGAAAAATTGTATGAAGATTTATTTTTATTGAGAAGTTTCAAGTGCCTGTGCTCTCATCAGTCTTGACGTCAATGCACGTGCGTCAAGAGCCATAAACTCAACACAATTTTATCTCTGTTATTGTTTACGCCTGAATGCGTGATTGATCAGGGAGGGGGTGCATGTAAGAAGGAGACATCTTTTGGGGGGTTCCGAAAAACACAATTCCACTTGACAATTTCATGGGCCATTTCAATTGGAAGCTCTGCATAATGGACCCCCAACAAGCCCTTTGACAGTTTGACTGACTACCAGACTAGTCAAGAAATTCAAAGGTCTGTATATTGCTCTTATTTAGCCGCCGATAGTTCTTAGTTAGAAAAAAAAAGTCTTTATTGTTATCTTCTAAAACTACAGACCATCCGCTGACCGCTGTGGAGACGAGCGCCGGGCCTCGAATTTGGCGCACGTCTACACTGCGGACAGCGCTTCATACTTTAACATCCCCGCTGTCGCGTGCGCATATCCCGCGGAACTGCGCGTACCCGGTCTCTCTGGTTTCACCCATATGATACACCTGAGCACACAAAAACTATAAATCCTAACACCAGATGGCGCTGTGCAGTTATTTCTAACGTTGGCGTTGCCGTTGTTGTCTTTTGTACAGTACAACGAGTAGCCGACAAACGATTACGCTCGTTTTCCTTTTTTTATAGATACTATTTTTCGGTAATTGTTTACAACATGGTGTATGGATGATATAGATGCTAGCTGAACCATCAGGTAATTTCGTGAAATTTAATAACACTCGTTTACCTACCAGTAGTAGTACCAAGTCTTTTTTGCGTAGGCTCAATAATATCAATATCATTGATTCATTCATTGTCATCATCATGGATGATGGACTGAATGTACATTGTGGGGCTCCACATTGGTGAATGTACATAGTGGCATATGTCTTTTGCAGTCTTGCCCTTGTGCTACAGTGTACCTTACGACCCGCTGCACCGGAATTCTGATAGTGCACTGTTTGTGGTTTTCGGATTGCTGTGTGATTTTGTGATTGTTCCAGGTTTTATTTTGTGTTACTGTTGCTGGTTTTTATATTGCCATTTATATTGCATTATTGGTGCTGAAACTGTCACTGTCCGGGCCGCGAAATTTTTTTTCCCACGAGAGTTCCGGACCCCAGCCAATCAGCGCACTCCATTCACTCGACTACCTCGAAG